AAAACAAAATATTTGCCTGTGCAACTACTAAATTATTTGATGGTTGTTAATTACAATAAATATTTATAAAGGACACGGCATTATAATATTACATTTTTTCTTTAGATTACTCATGAGATGCGGTACGCATTCCTAAAGCATCGCTAGTACAACTAGCAAACATATATACTGGAAAAATGAAACATCTGTAGCCTAAAACTCAGGAACAAATAACTAAATTTTATTAGTAACATTTACTGGAAGTGTCTTCTAGTTATTTAACTAATTTAACTTTCAAATAACCTTGAATTTATTTGTGCCATTGACACACATGCTGCTGACAACGATACTTAGCAGGTTCGAATTCCTTTATTTATTGACTTAAAGGGGGCACCAGATATATATGCACCACACAAGACAATGAGAATGGGAAGAGAAAAAGAAGGTAAGGTGTGTCAGTCAGTAACAACGTAGAACTTTGTACGCATGTACTTCAGTCCGAGTTGCCATACCACATTAGCACAGAGATGCAGTTGTCAATTCAAATCCCGTAGTGGTAGAGGTAGTAAGAGTATAGGCAGTAATCGGAAAGATTAGAGTTTGAAGATGTTATTCAAGGAGTGTAGTCCAGTGAAATAAATTTGGAAAGAGGAAAAAGGGACATGAAGAATACAGAAGGTTAGAATTTGGGAGAACACAAAGAGTGGATGCACCTGCGCCATTGCAAACGATTTTGAGCCATGTCATTCAAGGTCTCTAACCATCGGTTGCTATCATCTCGCGGTCCCCAACCAGGTAGTCTACACCTACCGACATGACTCAGTCCACTTGTCTATGACTTCATGGACTTATGCCATGTTTTGGTCTGGCCGCCCCTAGCTTTCTTCCAATCTACTCCTATACCACTGAACATCGCACGTCGAGGCAGTCGGTCGTTGGGCATACGTAACACGTGTCCCAGCCATCTCAACTGATGAAGTTTCACCACTTAATCAATTGATTTGCCATCCTTACCTAGTACCCGTTTCCTAACAACTGCGTTACTTACTCGATGGTCCCACGATATACGAGCAATGTTTCGAAGACACCTATGATCGAATACTAGTAGACTACGGATATCCTCTACTCTTACCGGCCATGTTTCACTGTCATAAATTAGGACGGAACAGACTGCTGCGCAGTAAACCCATCCTTTTGTTGATAGACGGATATCCCACCTACGCCATAAATGACGCAAGTTGGCAAAAGCTAGTCGAGCCTTCTGTATCCGTGTTGGGATTTCGTCACACAGCAGACCACAAAGATTGATGAGACTTCCAAGATAAGTGAAGCGGTCGACATGCTCAACTACTTCACTCCCTATCATTAGTTTAGGTGTCGATGCAACCCAATCCTGAAGCAACATTTTCCGTTTTGAGGAGAGAATCGCATGCCGAACATACTTGCGATGTTGCTTATAGTGGTCAGAAGACTATATTTTGCCAGTGTCTTCACCAAACAGAACTATAACATCGGCATATTCTAGGTCAAAAAGTGAATCTCACGGTAGAAGTTCAACCGCTGGAAATTTAGATGAGGGAAATGTTATGTCTAAAAGCACGTCAACGACAAAATTAAACAAGAATGGAGAGAGTGGACAGCTCTGACGAACACCACTTAAGGTACTCAATTCTGATGACAGTTCGCCATAAAAAAAATAATAACCACAGATTAGTGTATGGTAGTATAATAATAAAAATGGAGGTAACGGAAAGGTACAACCAGAAGGAATTCTTTCAGTTAAGGAAGATACAACCACTTTTTATGAAGAAAGTAATAGAAGGTTACAGCAGGATCGCCACTGGCTTCTATTCTGAGCCATATCTGATAGTCTCTAGTCACTGAGTCGCACCACCACTCAGACCCCAGCCAGGGAGTCGTGAAGGACGAACAGAATTCAGCCCTTTGCAGCTTTCTTTCATATCACCACACCATGTCATACACTGACCGGCTCTCCACTTTTTCCAAACAGCCCCAGCGTCGGCAAATAATTCACGACGTGGAATTTTCTGGGACGACATTCGTAGAACATGTCCGAGCCATCGAAGTCGATGTTTCAAGATCTCATCACTCACGCCACCACCAGCACTTATGCAGCTACCTAGATACACGAACTTCTCGACTACTTCTATCTGCTCGCCATCCAGGGTGAGTACAGGATTAGAATCCTGCCAGTCTTGTAGGAGTACTTTGCACTTCGAAGGTGCAAAGCACATACCATACCTACGGATATTGATTGCCAACTGATTAAGTGCGGATTGCATGGCTTGAGCATTATCGCACAGTAAGACAATATCATCCGCATACTCAAGGTCGAGAAGTCTTTCTCCAGGCAACAGATCCACACCGCCATTACTTACATCCATCAGAATGTCATCGATGGCAAAGTTAAAGAGGAATGGTGAGATTGGGCAACCCTGTCTAAACCCACTGCTCGAATGGAACAATGGAGAAAGGTAGTTGTATGCCCTCACTATGCTTGAGGTGTTTGTATGTAGGGCCTTTAAGATGTTAATAAACTTTGAATTCGAATTCCATAAACAAGTGATTATAATTTCTCTTATTTTTAGATCTATGCAAATGCTTACTAACTTTACTTACGCCTGTTACTCCTCGTGAAGGAGCATAGGCCGCTCATCAACATTCTCCATCCAATCCTGTCTTGGACAATCCTTTCCAGTTGCTATTCATCCTTTTCATATCTGCTTCTATTTCCCGACGTAATGTGTTCTCTGGCTTTCCTCTTTTCCGCTTCCCTTCACGATTCTAAGTTAGGGTTTGTCTCGTGATGCAGTTTGACGATTTGCGTAATGTATGTCCTATCCATTTCCATCGTCTTTTCCTAATTTACCCTTCAGCTGGAAGCTGATTTGTTCTCTCCCACAAAAGGCTGTTGCTGATGGTATCCGGCCAATGGATGTTGAGTATCTTGCGTAGACAACTATTTATAAATACCTGTAAATTCTTGATGATGGTTGCAGCAGTTCTCCAACTTTCAGCTCCGTACAGTGGAACTGCCTTGACGTTCGTATTGACGATTTTCACTTTGATATTGGTTTAAAGTTGTTTTGAGTTCCATATGTTCTTCAACTGTATGAATGCGGCCGTTGCTTTGCCAATCCTCGCCTTTACGTCTGCATCTAAACCTCCCTATTCATCGATGATGCTTCCCAGGTATGTGAAGGATTCTACATCTTCCAGAGTTTCGCCATCAAGAGTGATTGGATTGGTGTTCTCCATGTTGTATTTGAAGACCTTGGTTTTCCCCTTGTGTATGTTGAGGCCTACTGATGCAGAAACTGCTGCTACACTGGCTGTCTTTATCTGCATTTGTTCATGTGTATGCGATAGGAGGAATAGGTCATCTGCGAAGTCCAAATCCTCTAATTGGTTCTGAGCTGTCCATTGTATGCCATGTTTTCCCTCAGATGTCAAGGTCTTCATAATCCGGTCGACCACCAGAAGAGGAATGGAGAGAGTAAACAACCTTGTCTGACTCTGGTCCTTAATTGAAATGCATCTGTCAGCTGTCCTCCATCACGACCTTGAACTGTAGTCCGTCGTATGAGTTCCGGACAATGCTGACAATCTTCTCAGGAACTCCGTAGTGTCGAAGAAGCTTCCATAACGTTCTCCTATCTACACTGTCAAATGCATTTCCATATTCAATGAAGTTGATGTACAGTGACGAGTTCCACTTAACCGATTGTTCGACGATGATCCGTAGTGTCACAATTCGGTCTGTGCACGACCGATCCTTACGGAATCCAGCCTGTTGATCTTGAAGTTGGGCGCCTGCTGCGTCTATCATCCGAATCAGCAACACTGTTAAAGACTCTCCCTGTTACTGACAGTAATGTAATGCCTCTGTAGTTTTCACATTTGCACAGATCTCCTTTCTTTGTAATCTTGATTAGATGTCCTTCTTTTCAGTCCATCGGCAGGTGTTTTCCCCCCAAATCTCTTTGAATAGAAGGTAAAGCATGTTTTTAGTTACTTCGATGTCTGACTTCAGTGCTTCAGCTGGCATATTGTCGGGTCATGCACTTGAACACAAATGAATGCGGAATGGTTTCACTGGTTTATGAACGGAAATTCTGGTCGTCAAAATAAAATAGAACGCTGACAGAAAGTTAGATGGAAACTAATACGATGTAGGCGTTCTGGTCGTTCATGGATGTTTTGTTGCGTTCAACTGACTTGGGACAGAAGACAAGACTAGTGATCAGAAAGACAGTTTGTTATGAAATAAAACGGCATTGTTGTAGAAGATTAGAAGAAATCAGTTTGTAGACCATTACTTTTCAGTCAATGAAGACTTGATGGTTAGATTTAACTCTTGAACGTCATATTAGTAAGCACACGTACTTGCTAAGGCTTTAGCGTTCGCAAAAATCTGCAAGCTTTATGGATTACAAACAGAAGACAAATGAAATGCACGAGCTGCATTAAAAAATCATATACTTATCGTGATAGGTGAACAAATTTCGTAAAGAGTAAGTTTTAACAGACACAAATTGGGACAATATCCCAACATAGTAATTATTGATCAAGAGAAATAGCCTAATATTTAGATTGGAAGTTCACACCACAAGAATTAGAAAACTCATATTATGTGAGATTAAATATTAGTAGTACAACCCATGTGTAGAGAATAATTTGCAAACTACTGTTTTACAGTGGTGCAGTTGCTTAGGAGCTGGGTTTGGCAACTCTTCTTTCAGCCGTTTTTTACTGGGCTTGGGAAGTGCAGCAACCCGACTGTTTTGTGGACGGAATTTTTTCGGCTTAACGGTTTCGATAAACTGGGGAAACTAAGCACGAACGTCGTCTTATTCCTTTTCGCATGTCATAAATTGAAAACGTTTTAATTAGTTGTACTCAATTCCTTTGCATATAATTTACTAACATAATATGCAACAGGAGAATATCTGTTATTTTATTGATTTAGAGTAAATTGACCCACAAAATAGTTCGTAATTAATTGGTCTGAATCTTATATTATCAGCTAAACAATACAATTCGTCAGTGGAAGACTACGTGCATGCACGATTTCGTTTATATTGTTAACAGATCAGTATTAAGCACATCTAATTTCAAAAATGAAAGCCAAGATGTATTAAAGTACTGGGATACATTAAATGACATGTTATAAATACTCAAAACAAAAGGTCTAAAGGATATTTTGAAGAAACTATTGAAGCAATACAAATTTCATTGAATAATAACTACCAGAAACAGTTCTATTCATTATGACAACGAATATCTTCGTATTCACACTAGTCAGCAAATAGATGCACAGGTCTATCGCAACGTTAAATAAGTTAACGACATAAGATCAACATACACCTTACAGAAACGATTTAACTAATAATAAAAAAACTGAAAGTTACGGATTGTCTGTGACTAAATGGAGATAAGAGCATATAACCATAGTCTGTATTTAATTCGAAAAAAAGCTGTAAAAATTACTTTAGCAAGTTAAGAAATCAGTAGAGGAAAATATTATTCAGAGGCAAACAGATTATCATTACGGTCCGTAAACCTTACTTAAAATTAGTAAAATTCTGAAAAATGAATGTAAATAAGATTTTTAGGGATTAATGACATTCATACTTGTATGAGTTGAACAGCATTAAAGCAACTGAAACCAACAAAAAATATGCATATAAATGTTTTGGTAAAACGACGGTATTTCGTTCAACTACAATTAAAGCAAGAAGTAAAATCGCATTGATCACAATCACCGGAACATAAAAAATAAATGAACATAGTTGTTTACCAAAGGGACAAAGAACAGCAGAAAGAGAAACTATTCTTTAAAGTGGGAATAATAATATTTTGACTGCACGATAACCAGACACATAAAATTGAACTTGATTTTAGTCTCATAATGGTTAGGAAATGAGTACAATGAAATCAGCCCTGAAATTTTACATATAATAAAACAATCAATATGTCATTGGACACAAATTACTAATGAGAAGTTAGTCTAATGTATTTTTTGATCTTAAGCATTGTTAGATCAATAATGACTAGGTTACCTATAAAATCATAACTGATTTATTTTTTCAATGACATTTGAGCAATCATAGTAATACTCCTAAAACAAAAGAAAGGGATTTTAACATTATCCCACCAATAATCGTTAACAAAACAAAATTTCAAGAGGTTAACAATTTGCGAAATCAATGCGTAACAATCTATTGAAGTGGTCTTCGTAATAGAACCTCCAGATTATCAGAAAGACACAAAAATTTAATTATGGTCTGCCAAACTTTAACTTACCTCAAATTATTGAAGTAAAGTAACCAGAGAAAACATCATACGTTAATGAAGACATATAAGTACATGCCTATGTGAACGGAATTGTACATTTATATACAGCTAATAAATAATAATCGAAGAAAAAGATGAGAACATGAACAAAGCAAAACCAAAAGTTATAGAAAGACGTAAGTAGAAATGTAAGTATACAAAGATGGGCATTGTGTTAAAAAAACGTGTTGCTGGCAGAAGATAAAAACGAAACTGGTACATGGCCTAATACATTTTTTGTTACGATAAATAAGAGCTAGTCCTCCCAACCGGAAGAATTACTATCTGCATCTTTGTCGTCATCGTCATCTTCCGAGGAATTATTTTCCATACATTCCCGACGACGCCTAACAGCTTCATAAATCGCCTGAAAATGAAAACATGAAAAATAGGAAAATACTTAAAGAAGTCAAACAGAATAAACACAAGATAATATATCACGCAGGATAACAGCTACGGATTAATCAGTTCTGAAATAGGCTACTACGAGAAAATACTAAACCAACTTGATCAAGAAATGTAACTACTTACAGAGAGAGAAAGCAATGGAACTCTTGGGTGTGTGTAGCGAGGGTAATATTTACGAAATTGAGAGGACGGAAAGTGAGTGGTCCGGTGATTTAACAGGATTGGTGGACATGCAGGACCCACCTAGGGCAATCGGAAAACAATGCTTCCTGATTCTAAGGATATTCCAGATGACTCCCGTTGACAATAAGGATATTATTCAAACTAATTAATTACAGTTTCGTAGACAGTAGAACGAGTACTGGAGCACCAATTAAGTTAAAAGAGGTAACAGAAATTTCGTCAAATCAATGACATAAAAATTATGAAGGTACAAACTACATTAATCACTAAAACGAAGGGTACAAAAAAGGCTAATTACTTTGAAGGGAAAAAGAATCTAAACGAATAAACTAGAAGGCTGGAACAGAGTTGTGTTAAAAATCTAGAGCTTTATGCTGGCGATTCGTCTGTACCATTGTGTAGATAAAAAGGCATGTCATTAGTGTTTCCGATTGACTTTGTTCTACGGGGATCAACGGTAAATTCTAAGTGGTTTTGGGGAATCTAGATTCCACAACAGGAAGCTAGATCAGCAGAAATCACTTGGCAAGCTTATTTTTGTAAGTTAACCGTGGAAATTTGAATTTCTCATTTTTGCACCAAAAGTGGACACTGTTACCTTCCGTTCGTGCTTCCACCTGGAAAGATCCTAAGCATCTCTGGTTTGTTTTCTCTTTTGGTACGTTATCTCATGACACTCGACAAGAAAATTTCTGTAGTAACAGAGTTGAGGAGACTACATAACTCCCGTAATCGAGATTATTGCGATGAAGAAATATTAATTTATGATTCTATACAAAATTGATCAATACAAGCAGTGTGTTTACAATGAGCTTTTAGAAGACAAACTTTGGTAATTTGAATGAGCAAGAGGCATTAGTCACCTTGATTATTGAAATGTAACACTTCCCTTAAACGACGGGATGTAGTACATTTAAAATTAGATACATACAAACGAAATTTAAGAAACTTAAAATCAGTGAAACTAACTTGAACATCCTTAGGTTTGTTTACCAGAGTTGATAAACTATTTGCACGGCTAAATTTCGATTGATCGGGAAGATTTCGTTCACCCACTTTGCGTAACTGACAGCCAGCGCGTATAGCAGAAAGCAAATCTGCAGGAGGACACTGAGGTACACTACATCGTGGGATAGTGTTCTTTGATGGTAAAGTTGCTTGGTTGCTTGGACTTTCAGATTCAACTTTCTGGCTTGGTATGAAGGGAGGTGGAGGTGGGGGTGGTGGAGGTTGTGTAGATGAGCATAGAATAGATGTTTGAGGTGGCGAAACAACAAAAGGAGTCACTGGAGGAGGGAGGGTCGAAGAAGCGGATATATGATCACAAGTATCCGACTCGCTAGGCTGTCTGTTGGGTTTACAAGGCTCACTGAAGTTCTTCGCCTCGAAAATCGGCGCGGGAGGAGGTGGAGGAAGATTGTGTGGTGCCGATGACTAAAACATGAATGTAAAAATGGTAGGATTATTCAGAGTACGGACAAAGCCAGGTTAGCAACAGACTAAGCAAATCTATAGAACTAAAAAAAGAGCTAGCTTTTAATTATATATATAAACTACAAAATTCAAAACAATTGATCATAGGTTTAATCTACTTAATAACTACGATTATATTAGTTCACAAACGCTTGCAATAAAGTAAGTATTACAGTCATCATACACAAAAACAAAACAGGAGTTAATTGATGGATTCACCTTCCATTCACATTAAATAACTATTAATCTATGTGGGGGCCTGATGCATGCATAACATGAATTAACTCTAATCGCAGTAAAAAATGACTGCAGCATTTTAACTAACTTTGGGCTTATGGAAGAAACAGCTAAAAGGTCAAAAAACTTACCGATTCCATACCTACAGAATTAATATACTGAGACTGTTTCTCTTTGCCATCATGCATTTGTGCGGGTGATGATATCCTACCATCTTCATCTTTTCCAGTTGGGTCTCTGCTAGCAGCTTCATCATTCGGATGTGAATTTTCGCTCATGTCTAAAAAGTTAAATAAAAACTAAAAATATCCAAATTAACAAAAAAAGCACAACACAAACGTAAATAAAATATTTAGAAGGATGAACAAATCAGATATATGTAAATAAATAGAAACAGAACTCACGAAGACGTGCTGCAAAAAAATCATATAAAAATTCAAGCCAGAAACCAACTGCACACTAAGGATGAGATCGTTTAAACGAGAGGTATATATATATATATATATATATATATATATATATATATATATATATATATATATATATATATATATATATATATATATATATATATATATATATATATATATATAACTGTGCACCAGTCCACGCCACAAAACACCAGCATTATGAAGGGAAATAAGCAAACGGAAAGCGTATGAAATGGAAATGATGGTGTCCATAGTCAATGATTATGAAGATACATTCTCAAAGCTTGTCAAAAAATTCTAAATGCTCCTCTTGAAGATCTTGCCAACAAATCCAAAAATCTATGGAGTAAGGTTGGACGTTCAGTAGTGTTAATATTTGCAAATCTTTTCTCTTCAGATCGAATGCCAGAGAAAAATATAAACCCTGTGAACATAGAATAACCACCACACCGGTACATCTTTTGATATGATATAACTAATTACTAAACTGGTTTTCAGGTGTTACATGAAACAAGGAAATAAGCACAATCAGAAGCTAAGAAAACGAATAATAATAATACCTACTATACAGGTGAAATAAACATACGGAAAGTACAAATAAATAATATATTTGTAATATCCGAATGAGTAGAAAAATTCTGATCTTAGTAACGATACCTACAAACTCATTAATAAGGAAAGTAGTTTGAAAAACGCAACTGAGACGAGAATTATGGGATGATACTAGGCTAAAGATTTAGAGGGTGAACGAATTCAATTGTATATGTAAGAGACCGATACTAAATATACTAAATTGAAACTTTATCACGTAACATCCAAACGATGTATCAGATTGTGAATAATAACATACATATTAGGCGGTTTAAACCAACCTGAGACTTTTAACTCTCTGTCGCTCGAGAACGCCGGAGGAAGTGGTGGTGGTAAAATAAGAGATGCCATCTGTGTATGGAGTGCGGGAGGGTCAGGAAGAGTCATCTGATGGGTTGGTGAAGGGTCATGGTTGCTACAAATGTTGTTGGTAACTGAAGGAAACTGATTGACACCATCAAGGTCAGGTTTAATTGGACAATAACCACTCTTTTGATTAGATGCGTGTCGAAAATCCTGTGCATTATCAACTTGTGTTGAAGAATGAAGAGCATTTGGTGGAGGTGGCGGAGGTGGTAATGAAGGATTTCCGAAATCCCCATTATTCAGAAATTGATGTTGGGTGGGTTTACCGTTGACAATATTGACATTCCTATCCATATGAGAACTGGCATTAACAGAACCGTTTTGTTCGAATAACGGTGCGGGAAGTTTATGACCACCAACTCCTGGTTGCTGAATGATAAGTTGAGGTTTCTGAGCCCCCTGATTAGATCCACTTTTAAGTGGAGCAGCTTTTCCCTTTCCTTTTGGTCTCTAAAATAGGTATTTTACCCAAAACAGGTTACAAGCTTGAAAGATTAGGATATTTGGTTGTATAAAATATTATTAAAACTGGAGCAAAAAGATTATATCCATGAATCGCTTTACTTTCTTACAGTTCCCTATTTTTATCTAAGCGCAGACAAAGAAAAAAATGATCGTAAATGAATGCAACACAAATCCAGGCTTGTGAATTAGAACGAATTATATTGCTGTAAGTTGGTTGTGATAAATGGTTTTTTGACTATGCAAACATACATTTTTAAGTGACAGAAAGAAAGTGAGTCGAGGAATTTAGTATCATCGCTTTTAAAACTGCTTCGAAAATCCCAACAAAACACTTACTTTTTTATAATTGAAAACGGTTATGTGTCAATGAGTGAGGAAGAATATGCTATGGATCATTCTCAGTGCTAATTGTAGCATTTGTTCGCAGAAAACGTTCAGTGACATTAAAAGTCAAAAGAGCTAAGAGAACTGTAGCAAGACAGAGGTAGAAGGGGAACGCGACCTTGTAACAGATATGGGTATGAAATAAAGGAGACGATCAATTTTCACAGCCTGACAGAAGTGCAAAAAAAAGAAAACACAACTAAACAAGAATCCTACAATTCAATAAACGAATATGTAGTTGGATATAAATACAAAACTTGATCAAAACGTTTAGTTGTAGCGACATGATTATAAGCGTCAAACGAAACTGTAGAATTCACTAGCATCATAAAGTGGAAGGGTTTAGGACCGAAACATATGATATTAATTGCATCACTCCAAAAGTTGATTCGTCGGCTTAGTACTAATTTTCAAAAAGGTCACCAGATGATTTAAGAACTGAGACTGGTATATCCTTTAGTTACCAAATCGATGTAATCACAAACAAGAGCACGTTTATTATTGAAACCATAAAAAGAACATCAGGTAAGTACTAATAACTTTGTAATTTAAAGAAGGAAATAATCTATAAATGCTTAGATGGTCTAGATAAAACAACAACGAATGCAGCTACAAATATAGGTTGCAAATAGAAGAGATAAGAAAATAACCGATTAATGGGTCAGCAAAAATTACTTTTTTCTTGGCGGCTCTTTTATGTTTGCGATCTTGTAACATTTCCTGACTCCATAAATCAAAGAAAAAGCTGGGATCTGAATACAACCTCATGCTAGTTTTCTTGTCATCTCTGAGTTCATCCATTTGTTGAAGTGCTGGAGCTGCTTCTGCTTGATCATATTGTGACCGCATAGAAGGAGGTATGGTATTTTGATTTAATACCTAACTAAAATGAAAACGTAGAACAATTTACCTGGCTATCAGTTGGCTTTTTGCTAGAGAACACCGGAATCTCAACTTCTTGTACTCCAGCAGTAAGGTCTTCGTCACCACTGCGCGCCATTTGCATATCTTCATGAAGTTTTCCCAGACGATTTTGCAGACGAACAGTCCGCTCAACTAATCGAGAAAAATCGGTAGTGAGTTCTTCGAACATGGTGTTGGCCAATCGGCTAACTGATGCTATCTGTCTCATGACATTGCAGACCGTGGAATTAACCACAAATTCCAACTCATTGTCGATGCCATTCGGGACAATTACCTGACTGAGTTTTACCGGTTGAACTGTATGTTTAGGAAGTGGCATATCTTAATGCTGAAACCGAAAAATAGTAAATTACTCTATAGAATAGATAAAGCAACAACAGGCAACTTTGGAAGGAAACTTAATGTAGCTTACCAATAAAGTACAAATAAAAGTTAGGTGTGCATTCTGATCAAATCGAAGTAACTTATTTGCTGAGTGTGTGGCTTCAGAGCAGTGTCTGAATGAGAATTGGTGATACCACCTGAAAACTTAAACTAAAGTTGGCGGAACAGGTTAGCAAACTTTCCCCTATTGGTTAGAAACTGAATGCTGTTTAGGTCAAACAGAAGTAGTTGTAGCTTTCAAAGCCCACAATTTATTGGATCAAAATAGGATGTTTTAACCACTGGAACGACGTTTCAATTTGTAAATGATTAATTGTAAAAACTTAGTGCACTCTTTATGGTTTATTTCAGGCTGTGCTTATAGTTAATGAGAAAAGCGATATCAACACTTATGCACAATTTTTTAACATGAGTAAATGTTCTGGTAGGACTCATCAATTTGTGCTTAACAACATATTTTCAATTCAACAACAAAATCTACGAACACACAGAAAATGAGCAAGTGTTGCCAAAAGAGTTGTAACGCAAACGCAAACTCAATTATGTAGACGTATGTATGTACTCAGATTAGAAACATTCCTGGGCTACTGTCGGTTGTCACAAGCTCCATCATCTAAGAAACAATCCCACTAAATAAACACTAACTGGGAAAACTCATCCAGACTCTGACCTCACAGTTTGAGGCTCTTCAAATACATCAGTTATAATACCTCACGGTGAAAGCCAAGATTCCCCATAAGTCACGAGGCTGATACTCCCTCCGACAAACAGGGTAACGGTAAACATGGGTACGCCAAATATCCGAACACTATACGAGACCATAAGTACAAATCGAAAAGACACAGAAAAACACAAACACAAGCTGACCGGCGTTAGAATAAAAGCAACTCATTGCATTTAATCCATAAAAAAACACTAACTTGAGAAAAGCTGTCACCGAAGTCTAGTCATAAAAAAGTGCCCTCCCACACACACACAAACACAAGGAATTTTACAAATCCTGTCAAGAGAAGAATAGGATAAACAAATCTAGGATGGGAGACTGAGTTTCGAGACCATCACAGCATCTCTCGAAACAAAGGGAAGGACTACGATGAATGTGATCCTGCGCTATGCACCCACCAACGATAGCAGCGAACATAACAAACACCATTCTCATGAGGCTGCAGTCCATCGTAGGGAAAGGTTTAGGGAAACACATGACCATCCTGATAAGTACATACTTGTAAATTCTCCTTTGATATTAAGGAGTACCTAGGAAAATCTTCATCATCACATGATGCCCCAACACCGGACTGAACTGCAAAGTCGTGCATGGTGAGCAGATCACAGATCAACTACAGATAAAAACTGGTATTAGACAAACATTTCGAATCACGTATTTTCTCATTCTTCTGATTATTCACTGGATTATGAAGACCATATCATAAGAAAAACACGAAATCCAGCGGACACATTGGACGCAGCTGAGTGACTGATCTTGTGAATGACTTGATCCTGCAATCGCAAACACAGCAACAAATGCAAAGACAGCCATTGTACCAGCAGCTTTCACAGTAGCATGCCCCAACACAGAGGAAACAACAAGCTTCTGAAGCACAACACATTGAGAACCAGTCAAATCACACTTACTGGCAAAGCTTCCGAAGAGGTGAGAGCCTTAACGTAACTGAGCAGCACCGTCGATAAACTAGGAGGATCTGATGCAGATACAAATGTACGAGTTTGTACTGCAAAGGCAACACTCCTACAACTGAAGAATATCTGAAACTCAAAACAACCATCACCCTCTACCAAAGTAAGAATACTCAACACTAACGTTAAAACAATTCTATTGCATGGAGCTGAAACTTGGACAATTGTCACCACCATCACCGAAAGAGCAAAGGTATCCATAAACAACCGTTTGCGTGAGATACCCCAAATCCATCGGCCAGAGACCATCAGCAATAACCCACTCTACAAGTGAACGAACCTGCTCCATGTTAGAGAGGAAATTAGAAGACGCTAGTAATGGAAAAGACACTGCAGAAATAATTAAACTGCGTCAAAAAGCAAGTCCCAACATGGAATCCTTGAGGAAAAAAGGAAACGCGACGTACCGATGGACATATGGTGCCGGAAATCGGAAGCATAAATCAAGATCATGAATAACACTCAGTAACAACTGAAAGGCAGAGCCTCAGACAGGGTGACTGAAGATCGCTGCTCAGTGGTCTATCCCTCAATAGGGGTAACAGGCTTAATTAAGTGATAAATAGAACGGTTAGACATTGAGGACATGATTTGGAAAGGCAAACTAGAAGTAATGCTGGAATTCGAGATCGATGGGTAAAGAAAGTATTTATGAGTTCGCGCCACTGTGAACGGTTTTGATTCATAGCGCTCTACAACCAATGGTCACATTTATGTAATAGATCCTGACCAGGTGGCCTGTATTCATCAATATGATTTAGACTAGCAGTTATCGACTTCATAGATTGGTCCCATCTCATATTGTGGCCGCTTCAGTCTGAAATACATAGGAGACCAAATGCAAATATTTTGTGAAGATAGCAGTGAGCAGCCTACTAAAATCGAAAAGTGCAATCACACCAAATCATTCCCCTTAAAACGGTAACCTTAAGGGTCAAAGTTAGTGTTTTGTCACAAAAATGGAACAACAGCCCGAGATGGTTAAACTAAAACTACTCCCATCTAAACAGGTCATATAAGCCTTACTGAACTGACCGATGCAGAGGACTGCTTGCTGTGATAAGAAATACTTAATCTGCTTGAAGTCGAATGTGAGAGAAAACAGAGCTCTGACCCATCACGTCGTTGGAGCACTTTGAAGAAATGGACTATGTTGGGAAACTACATCAACCAGAAATTGCTAGTTTTTCTAAGTGTACAGAAGTAGTTGTACCAGATTGCTGTACAAATAACCTTAATTAATTATACTAATAACTCAACGCCCACACACAGGAACTCGATACTTCAGAGGTATACTACAACCGATTATAGAGTAGGTTTATATTTAACGAATCGTTTGAACTATAATTTTTTAATAAAAATGTCATGTAATTCCTGACTCTGAAATGACCACGTACACATACCCATGCAGTGATGCCATGATCACATACATATATCGATCTCCAGGTCCAAATTGAGGCAAAAGTTGGGAACAAAATGATTCTTAGATCCAAGTTAACCAGATGTGACTTCAGTAACGACCTTCTGGGACTTTACAATTATGAGTTGATAAAAATTGTTCCTCAAAATAATGACAATGATGCACCTTGATAACTATGGAGGAAAAGGTAACCAGAAACTGTTCATATCCACAGTCCTTGGGATAGCTCCCTGAATACCCTTTTTGGCTATGTAAAAGGTCGTCGTGTCACTTCCACAAGTGAACACACACAGTAGGCTTCTACTAATCATAAATTGTCATGATTCGATCTTTCGGATAACAATATTTACCCAAAAGTACTACACGTTGGTGACGTAAGACTGTTTTTAATATTTCTTTGGAACTAGCCGAGTCTAACAAAGTTTTGATTTCGCTTTTGAGACTTATTTGGATGGCTGAGAACTAACCTATATGCTCGTCGTGATAGTTAACAATGAGTTGAGTTTGATACAAGTGGAAATTGTTTATTAAAATCCGTCAATAGACTACACTAACGGTATCCAAAAATTGACAAATGGATGAAATAAAATGCTTGGTACAGCAAGTTACCGAGTGCTATAGGAAAAAACAGTCCCAATGTCTTACGCAACACTTTGTGACTTTATTTCCCTTGTAGTACTGACAATACGAAGTGTTCGGAAAAATAAACATCGGTGTTAACACAGCGCGTAGGGTAATGTGAGGGGAGCTGGGAAAGAGAACAAAGGCAAAGGTCAGGCGACAACTCAGTAAGAGTACAAAATGTACTTACTTTTAACAAGAAGAGCAATCGATGACAATTATCAGTAACACGAGTGTGAAAATAAAAGTCAGGCAGACGAAACTTCAGTGAGACTTCAAACCGGTTGCAATTTAGAAGTCAATATAAGGAACGCCTGATTTCTGTCTAATAAAACAACTAAACAAGCAACCATACATTGACAGTGAGGATGGCGATTTTCAATGTTCAACAAAAGTGAAATATCAAACATTTTCGTGCATTCTTCTATTCATTAAATGAGCCAACATTGCATACAAAAATTCGATTCATATTGCAGACTCTTTCAATCTCCTAAAGCTCTCGGCATATAAATTTTCTACGAACAAGAACTGCAGCTCATTCCAAGTTGGCAGATTAATTAAGCAAATAAAATGAGAGTTATACGTTGAAATAGAATCCACTTTGAGAAGTGTGTTAAAGTGCTAAAGGTGTTTAAAGATAAACAAACCCCTAAAATAAACGGCCTTATCGGTCTTCGGTTTTGATTGTCATCTCATTATTTCTACTAGACACATCTCTGGTCGAGGGCACTCGGTCATGCATCTTCACTAGATTATGTTTGGGCACACTTTGCTGCACGTCTCTTACGACGACAATCAAGCCTAGATTTTATTCACTTCAACCCATCAATCACTATTCAAACATACCTTTGCATACCTTCATTCTTGACTTTGATTACCTTTGGTATCCTTGTATAGCAAGAAGATTCAGACGGTGACGTTAAAACCACTGTTTCCGTGACATCTCTACGAGTATGAGAACTTGCCTACTAATTTAAAAGTCATTTGATTGGCCAAACTTCGAGAAAACCATTGCTTAAGCAATGCAACCGTAATGGCATTGATCCCTAATCACACAATCTTTGAAGCTGAACATATAATTGCTGGGGAGATTTACTTTCAACGTGTAACAATGGTAGAGAATCAAGAATGATGAATGTGGGAAGAATTGGTCGGTATGGCATGGCTCAGCTTTGCATGTGTAGTCATCCTCGAAACAAATCTCTATTCACACTAAAATATATTATTCTATCGTCAGTCCAAATGTGTTTTTCAGAAGTGTTTAACATTGCACTGCTGATAGTCACGATACGACGAGTCAGAATAGACAATGATGCGACTCCCACGTGGGATTTTATGCATTAGGTAATCTTTTCACGACAAATCTACAATTTTGGGACTTGGTCTATTAAATTGTTAACAAAGATAAATGTACTAATACCGAACTAGATCATAATTCCATATAACAACCACTGTGATGACTGGTCTGGACATAGAGAACCAACTAATTAGTGTTTGTTCGATTAGGCCAAACTACTTTCTTCCGTATATCACTCAAAGCCTTTTAAAATCGCTCGCACTAAATCATCTCTGCACTTAATCTGATCGGTTCTGATCTCATGGCGAAAACAAATTACATCGAAAGCATGAAATACCTCAAACATTACGGCTTGAGCTATGCACCCAAATTTCACTCTAGGATAGAACAGTATTCCTGGCAGTAGAAATTGTCAGAAAATAAGTTTTATATTTCTGAGGATCAATAACAGTATTACCAGCAAAATGGGGTCAGAATCCATTAGCGACGATTTGAACGTCTGTTCCCAGCAGGCAGTCTCGAGATAACATATATTAAAAGTCCATCTCCACAAACATGAATCCAGTTAAACATTATAATAATGTTAATGATCTGACATCATTAAAAATAAACTGTTATCTACAGGGCTAACAGTAAGCAAAACGAATAATGACTGCCGAGCTGAAGAAGATTGCCAATGTACAAAAAACAGACGCACTTGTCATGGGTGGACGTTCAAGTATTAGACAGAGTGAAAGAAAATGAGATAGTATTATCAAATAAGACTTACTAGGGGTTTAAGAGTATTGTTTCTGTCATAATCATTTAAGACCACCCATTCACGACAATAACGAATTAAGTTTCTACTCCACATGAACAATCAACAATACAGTAACCCAGAGTAGCAGCAACCAGAATACAATGTTAGTTAAAACTAATACAAAAATAGTTTTTAAAATCCCCATCGACATAGATAAGTTCATAACGACTCTGAATCTGCGAGTCGTATATGATAATAATTGCAAAGAAACTAGAAGATAAACGTAGTGCCTGTAAATTCAGATTTCAATGGATGCCACGCCGCGTAGATAAATAAATAAACAGGTGTTACCACTACGAACGTATTCGTGGAAGCTTTTCATAATCATGTCAGTACAAAAATACAAGTAGGATCTTGAGGATGATGTGCTATAGCATTTCAGCCTAAATTCAGAATAATACTTACGAAGCAGAAGGAAACAATGAATGACTCACCTCTGTCAGATAATCGGAGAGGAGAAAAATTGGATTGCCGGCCACTCTCTCAGTCCTTACAATACCTACAAGTTTTGATCAGCATAAATATCAGCAGTTCTAAAGCAAGAGTGGACTCAAGCTGTATAATTCTATGTTCAACACTGTTCGGATGCAAAAGGCCTATACACATTTTTACTCCACATGGTACGTATTTCGGACAATGCAGTGTATACTATTACATAAATCTAAATGTATTCATCCGAGTGCTTTAACGGATTTCTATTTTTTATTTTTTCAATTGCTGGTTTCCTTCTGAGGTTGATATTTATTACACAATTATTATTGTTATCATGGATGAACCATTTCACTAGGTGTTCACTTCTTTTCTCTCTCTTCTTCCCTTCTAAATAAATATTATTCTTAAGATTAGGAAGTTTGTAATTAAGACAATAACTTGTGTTACATTTAAATTAACTTCTTAGATTCGTTTTATCTTCACTATGCATATATGAATCATAAATAGTGATATTTTATTATCCTTTTCACTTAATTGTGACTTTCATGACATCACTCCAAACTATAACTGCACAAACATTTATCCTAGCGTCATATCTTACTACAATGATGAATTACTTTTTGTTACTAATTTAACGATACACACATAGTCGTTTACTCTTGTTCTGTGTTTCTAAACACGCCTATTACACTGTTTGCGTAATTCACGTCCCCTTTATTTCTATTCCCTTATATTCTCCATTTCCTTCTTTAAACTCAATTCAATATTCTTCTCAATTACATATACCCGATTTATTATTATTAATATTCTACTATTATTATTCTAAATTTTTTTAAATATGGCAAGTATAATGCTAACATTATTGAAAATTGTGTATTATTGCATTTTCTGAAGAAACCCGAAATGGTTTCTTCACAACACTTATGTACCCATAAGATGTTTGTGAATAATAATAATAAAACGTCTTACTGAATCGCTTACAATACATCGCACACAAGATATAAAACAATTGGGAGGCCAAGACACAGCAGAGCGAGTCTTGAGCATAGAAGTCCCAGATTGTTGCCGGATAGACAACAGAAGGAGAAATATAGGAGCGATGTAGATCAATACGATAGAGCGAATCATGATAGTTTGGACACCAGACAATTTTTCTGGTACTGCTAGATATTTGATGCTAAATCAAACAGGTTAAATCAGCCATGCGTCGAGCCAAAATCGACATCTTAGAGTATGACAAACGCGAAAACCCGTCGCAGATCACGATTAGTGGGGCAGAGTGGCTAGACAATCAGTTGTTTTGTTAAAGGCAAATATTACGGGATGAACTTTTCAGTTGGAACGAATGCGGCTTCTTATATCATACTCACAGGATAAATTCGAACTGAGGTAAAATACTTTGACGCCAGATTTTCTACTCAACAGACGATTCCCTCAGGCTTCCATTGCAACAGACTTTGATCTGATGATATTTGAACCACACTTCCTTAGAACATATAAGTATGCAGTCGAAACATAGGAACGGGGTTCGATACATACTCCGTCATTTAAAACCACGAATTTCCAGAAAATTGTAACAGGGTTTACAAACTTGTCTAAGGTGAAATCCTCACTTTGACACATAAGTCAAAACCGACTCACACAATTAAAGTTTAAAAGCTCAGTGGATTACCCGTCGATAAAATTAAGGTAGCTGAAACCGGATTCAATATCATACAACAACAAAAAAAATATTTTTCAGAAAGCCATTAAATGCCATTTTTTCAGGCATGAACGATAATTTACAAGGTATATTTATTGGAAAGATACCAACTAGATAGATTTGTTCAACAGATTATTCATGCAGATATATAAGTCGATTTATATATCGCTCTTTTTATTGTCGTAACTAAATGCCGATCGTTACGTCTGCACCTAAGCGTCTGAAAATGAATGTAATGGGATGACTTCGTAGAATGACGGAACAAACACTAGTAGAAGAATCAGCGAACATGATAAGATAACCTCAGTGTCATTGATTAGTTACCTTATTACTGATCACGAAGAGCCGGAGACAATCAAAGTATCATGCAACCACACATAGGTGAATTGAAATCCTGGCTTTCATCCTACATGCTTGCTGGTCAATAACTCCACCCCCCTTCTGTTTTGACATCATGCTGTATTAAAGTGTTGGTTAGACTGCAGCTATGTCTTACCCCCATGCTCAATGCTCCACACCTTGTTAAAAAGAATAAATTTTACAAATATCTGGAATAGGCATATCAGACAATTAAAACTTGTAGAGTTGATGGGATATCGAAACAGTATCGCATAGTAGCATGAGATAGATTACGGGTTTCCAAACAAAATAAGTTAGTAGAAATAAACCAGTAAGCACGAAAATTATTATAATTATCCACAAACATCTTATGGTTACATAAGTGTCGTGAAGAAACCATTTCGGGTTTCTTCAAAAGTTCAATAACACACAAGTCTCAATAATGTTAACATTATATTTGCCATATTTGAAAAAGAGAAAAAATAATAGCAATGATATTTGAGTAATAACAAATCACGTTCTGTGAAATTGAGAAAAATATTGAGTTAACTTCAAAAAAAGGAAAGGGAGAAAATAAGAGAATGGAAATAAAGGAGACGTGAAATACGCAAATAGTTCGTTAAGCGTGTTTATGAACACAAAACAAGAGTAAATAACTATATATGTATCGCCAAATTAGTAATAAAAATGAAATAGAAAATTGTTAAGAAGAAATAACTTATTATTGCAGTAAGATATGACGCCAGAACAAATGTTTGTGCAGTCA